GCCCGTGCTCCTCCCGCAGGTAAAGCGACCGCTAGAGCGAGGGATGGGGCTCCCTCAGACACCCCTTATCTTTGGGCCTCTGTCCTCTTTTTCCTCTCCCACAGTATCTGCCTCCACTCTGTCATTGCTGGATTCCTGATTTTTCCTCCATCCCTTGGGCGGCAGGGGCGGCGCCAACAACTTCCTTCCCCACCGGCAGCCGCACCTCTCTACAATGCGGGTGCCCAGACCCCCTCGAGCCCCGGGCGGCCCCTCCCAGTCCGGGAAGGCCGCAGACCTGGCTCGCCTTATCTGCTCCCCTTTCCCTTCTGGTAGACTAGCAAGAGTCTTCCTCCACTGGCTCGCCTGCCTTCTGCCCTGCTGCGGAAAGCCGTTCACTGGGCGTCGAGGAGCCTGAGTTCACATGTTGTCGCTTTCCTAGCGTATCTCTCGGTGACGCACGGGGAGGGGTGCGCACCCCCAGGTGTGGAGGACACATGTCTCCCATACCTGACACCTCTGCTCCTCCTTCCCAGAAACCTGAAGAGAGCCCCAGCCTGAGAACTGGCCTCAAGACACAATGCCCAGATTGGGTCCTGCTGGCTCCACCCTGCCTCCCTAGGGGCCACTCTCACCTCTGGGCCTGGGGTTCTTGGGCTAGCTTAGCAAAGACGTCCCCCATCCAACACACATTTACACATCACTCACAGCACTGAACCTCTAGGCCCCTGGGACCTAGACTTACGCAGGCAAGGGCAAAGGAAGCCAGGAAAGACTCCAGCAAGTAGAGGGAGGGCGTACAACAAACCACACTGGCCGCAGACAAACCAAGATCCCAGGCTACTAAGGAAGCTGAGACAGCTGCCCACCCAGGCCTGGTGGTGAGGGGGGGAGGGGCTGCTTCAGAATCCCTGGGCTCAATCAGCCACCTTCAAGATGTTTCTACCAGTCCAGGCCACAGCTTTTGGGCTCAGAAGCCCCAGAGCCCTCCTTCTCTGCCTCCCTCCGCAACTACCCACCATGCCTGGGCTCTGGGCCACTGGCCAAGGCCTGAACTTGCCCCTCCCAAGACCAGAGGGGTCCAGAGGCACTTTTCTCTTTACCCTAGAGTTTACACACTCCTACAAACACCAAACACCCTTCCACCTCTGCCACGGGATTTTGTCCCAACTGGGGAAGGGAAGGGAGTCAGGAAGACCTGGCAAAGCTCTAAAGAACCAAAGTCAGTTGACCTGTACTGGGAGGGAATAAGGTGTGTGGAAGGAAGACTGGTCTGGGGAAACAAACCCTTCATTCCCCTTCTATCACTCAGCCTTGTCTTCTCTTCTTCCTGCACCCCAGCCTTTTTTCCTTCCCTCCTTTACCCTCAACCTGCACCCCAGTTGGGGATGCCTAGGGAGGCCTTGTTTCCTTCCCCTTAATGAGGAGGAACTACCTCCGATTATGGAAGGGGGGGATTTTGTAAACAACGGGAGAGAGGGTCAGAAACAGAGAAAAAAAAAAATAACTTACAGCATTCGCCTGGGATTCATTTGCGAAGATGTAACCTCTCTCAGCACCATCCCCAGCGCCGTAATCCCCTCTAACTGCCAGGCCCTCTGTCCTAGCATTAAACCTCACCAGCAGCTGCGTGGCTGGACAGTTAAGATTATATATGATGTAAATATATTGTGGGTTTGTCAGCTCTCCCTACACCATAAAACTTGGTTTAATGATATCACGTGGTCCCCCAAGAGCCACTCACGGGCTTGCCTCCGGGCCATTCACATAAATAACCTCCAAAAGTTTCAAACTCCAAAATTCACATAGAAGCCTTTCGTATTTCTCTAATGCTCAGTTACACTAAAAAGCCCGCGTCTGCTCCTTTGCCCCACCCCCACACCCCTCTTGCAGGGTGGGGAGGGGGAGAGGGTGGATCCTTATTTATTTATTTACTTACTTATTTCCATAAGGACCTGTCGCCATCGAGGTCGTGTTGATATTTTTTTCTTCCTATTTTTTTCCTTCTCTCTCCTCTAATTGCTCACAGTGGGCCGTGTCCCCCTCTTCCCACTCCCCCGGGAAGGTAAGTCAAGCTTCTTCCCCTTCTTTCTCGCTGCAAGAGGGGGTGGGTTCCAGGACAAAGTGGAGGGGCAGGCTCCACGGTCTGCATTTGGGACCCAGAAGACTCTCCACAAACTCCCCCAGAGCAATGCCAAACTCTGGTACTTGGAGACTGTGCCAGGAGGCTGGCTAGTGGGGAGCACGGCCCCAGACCCTGAAGCAGAAGCCTCTGCTCGGGGAAGAAGCAAGGGTCTGGGCAATACCCACTCTGAGTGCAGCTCGGGGTTGTAGGTCCGAGGCCTCTGGCTTGGTTGCGGGTGCTGACGCTGCTGAAGCAGAAGCCGGGGCCTGAGTGCAGGCCTGCAGACTGGGTTGCGGGGTGGGGGCCAGATAGCAGGCAGGCACAGCTGCATCTACCCAAGCCTGGCCAAGTTGAGGCAGTCCTTGGCTGGCTCCTCAGGGAGGAGAGGCCCAAACTCTGTTGGGAAGAGGCAGTAAGTGCACTGTGGGGCCAGTGTGCTCTGCCCCGTCGGATCTGACGGACATTGCCCATACCCCGGGCACAGTCCTTGGTTCTCCCAGTGGGGCAGTGCGTCCGTCCCCTGGGGAGGAAGCACATGGCCTCTGCAGCCTGGGAAGCTGGGAGGGTGAACACGCCAGTGCCTCAGCCTCTTTCTTAGTTAACTGTTACCCATTGGAGATGTCAGTGCTTCTCCGCGCTTCACCGCTTGCCCAATAGTTTTACTCAGCATGGAGAAAAAATTAAAATAACTCCCTGAAGAAAATTACACATTTTATTTCAGTGAGAGAGAGAGAGAGAGAAGGAGTTGGTGTTGGGCTGGGCTGGCTGCTGTGTGCAAGTTGAGGAGAGATTTCCAGGGCCCTAACCTAACCTGTGTAGGAGAAGGGTGGTAGCAGTGGGTGCAGTTCAATAAACATTTGTGGAGACTCCCTACATGCTAGGCATGAGGTGAAGAAAGGCTCTTGAGTCTTTTAAAAACTGACAGACTGGTAGCTTAGGAAGTGGGATGCAGAGAAATCAGTCTTTATAATAAATCCAAGGAGCATCAGCATTAATAATCATAAATATTCTTCCTGGCCTTCCCCAGAGCTTCTTTGCTCCCTTTCCCTCTAAGCTTCTGGGGAAGCCCCCTAGCTCCTGAGTGCCCCCCCATCTGTGTGGGGGTCCTAAGCTCCACTCCAGGAAATCACCCCATTGTGGGAGGCGGGAGAGGAAATGCACTAAAGTTTTATGGACCCTTCCCACATTTGTTTCTCCTGTAAAGTTCTTCCTCCTCCGCTACCCCATCCTAGGAGCCTGGAGCAGAGCAGAGCGTGGGCCTAGGCCAGCCTTACTGGAGCCCACCCTCCCCCTCCACACAAAATCCCAGAGACCGAGATAAATGATGGCAAACTGACATGAGTCCAGCACAGGTCTATGCAGCCCCTTCCCCAGTTAATTGCCCTGTATAGCCCTGGGCCCCACAAGTTGGGGAGACAGTGGGAACATTCCTGCTAGGCACACTCTGCAGACTGCCTTGTGCCCCTTCCCCAGTACCATAGGAAGCTGAGACACATCTCATCCAATCCCCCCAGCACCCCTTAACCAAGCATTACCAGCTCCCTCTGGGGTCCTTCTGGGACCACAAGGGCCCCTAGGCTGAAGAATCAGCCCTCCCTCTGTGTCCAGCAAGGCCCTTCAGGGACCACCTAGCCTGGAGAGATCTTTAGAGGCCCAGAAGCCTCAAAGTCTGAGAACAGCTGGAGCCACTGGTCCCTGCATATTAGCTCTGGCCTGGGGTGGGGGCTGCTGCCAGTCTAGAGGCTTCAAATACATCCAGCCAAGGTGGGAGCGGGGTACAGAGGCCTAAATGCATTGGGCAAAGCCAGCACAGGAGGCCTGGGTGCCCTCCTCTTCCCCCAGAGGCCCTTCTTGAAGCCAAGGTTCAAAACAGGAGCTCACTTTCACCTCCCTCTTCTTGCTGCCCCTAGAAGCACGTAGATTTTTTTTTTTTTAAAGGAAGATTAAAGGCTGTGGGGCTTCGCCCCTATACCTCACAGTTGATTTAGACACTTTTACCTAATACATGCCCCAGACAGAGAGGAGCCACTGCACCTTCACTCCTGTTCCCTGTTCGTCTTTATTTGATATGACAAAATATAGTTTCAGGAAGGACCCGGAGTCAATAAATAGTTGGGCAACAGCAATGGAGCAGGAGGGCACAGAAAGTCATGTCAGGGACTATAGGGCAGCCAAAAGCCTCTGGGACGGCTTGCTAGGGTCCAGTGGCAGGTGACCCCAACAGTGGAGCTAGCGGGCTGGGGCTGCAGGCCTGAGCCGGCATGCAGCTGGCGAAGGCTGGGGAGGTTCCCGGGCTCTCCCGTAGGAAAGATGGTTTGGAGAGCGTAGGGCAACAGAGGGGGGCCCTAGGGTGACGTTCAGACATCTCGCCCCTTTCATATGCAGATCATTAAAAATGAAGTTCTACTTTAGACGCGACAACAAGCACCCCGAGTCTGGCGCCGGGTTCAGGCACAACCCCTCTCTCAACAGCCAGCGGCTGCCTGGCCAGTCGAGCCAGGAACAAAGGACAGGGTGAGGCAGGAGGGTCGGGGCAAGGGGCCCTCGGCCCCGGGGCCACCTTTACTCCTGCCTGCCGCTCTGGGGCTGGAAGCAAGAGAGGCGGCCCAGCCTGGGCTTCATTCCGGGGCCAGCCAGCAAGCCACAGCCCTCTGGAGCCCCTGCGGAGCTCGCCCTGGGACCCGGGTGTTGAGCAGAGCTGGGGAGAGACAGGACAGCCCCGCGGGAACCCCGGGTCAATGGAGATGCGGAATGCCAAGGGAAAGGGCTTTGTCTGTGAGGCCGGGAGCCGACGCTCCAACCCTCTCCCCTGCCCCCAAAATATAGAGAGAGGAGAACAGAAAAGGAAAGGCGCGGGGACTGGAGAGGGCGCGCTCTGCGGGCCTCCGCACGGCTTCTAAAGGGCCTCTTTGCTTTTCATTTTGGAATCTTTCTTCCACTTCATCCTGCGGTTCTGGAACCAGATCTTGATCTGTCTCTCGTTGAGACACAAATTGTTGGCGATCTCTATGCGCCTGCGGCGAGTGAGGTAGCGGTTAAAGTGGAATTCTTTCTCGAGTTCCAGAGTCTGGTAGCGCGTGTAACTCGTTCGGGACCGCTTGCCGTCCGTCTCTGGAACATAAACCCCCAAGCCAGGAAGGGGTGAATAGCGTGCAGCGTCCCAGCGCCCCCACCCCAGCTCCAGGCCTCCCACCTGCGGCCGGAGGGAGAAGAGGCGAGCCGGGCAAACCAGGCCCCGCGGGCCGCAGGCGGGCCCGGCCCAGCCCACCCAGCCTAACCCGGTAGAGACGCCTCCGCCCTGGCAGGAAACTTTCCGCCGCAGCCTTCACTCAGCAGCCGGAGGGGCTGAAGGGGTGGGGGGGAGAGGGAGACCCAGGCTCGGCCCGAACAATAAGCACCCTCGAGATCCGAGCACCGGGGACCCCCGTCCCGCCCCTCCCGGGTCGCAGGAATCCTCCGGTGCCGCAAGCGCCCGCCGAGCGGGCTCCGCAGGGGAGGGAGGGAGGGAGCCGCGGGGGGATCCCCGCTCTGGAGCCCCGCATTCCTCACCCTTCAGATCCCTCTATTTTTTTAACTCCCTCCCTCGCCCCCAAAAATTGAATATTGCCTTTTATACACGTTTTGTTCCTATGATCCAATTATGTCGTCGTAAATTTGGGCGCACACAGCCTCTAAGCCTTTTAGTGGACAGTTTTACGAGCCATTGATGCCTGGATCGTAAAATTTATGGCCGCAGGTTTTTTTTTCTTTATTTGCCCCGCATGGCCTATAAAACGCAGGCGGACCCGAGCGCGCAAAATGAAGTCCTAAAGTTTACCGTGGCTCATGTGCAGTTTGGTCATCCACGGGTAAATCTGTGGCGGGGCCGGCGGCTGGCTCAGTCCGGCGGGCTGCCCTGTCTGCTCCTGCTCCTCTTTGATCTCCCCACTGCTCTTAGCTCGCTCCTCCAGCGCGGGGCGAGCCGCCTTCTGACTGTACATCCCGGGGTTCAGAGGAGCCGCTTCGTCTCTGCCCAGAGCGTGTCCTGGAGCGGCCGCGGAGCTGCAGGCGGGGCGGTCGGGGTGAGCCCCGGGGTTGGCAGCCATGTCTACCCGGTGGAGAGAGTTGGAAGGCGCAGGCGGTGGGAAAGTGATGCTTAAGTCCAATCCGCCGTAGCAGTACCTGGATGCCTGCACCTCTGAGGCCGATCCATAGTTCCCACAAGTTTGCATGTTATAGGCAGGGATATTGGGGCTCTGCTTATAGAATGAATTGGCTACGTAGGAGCTCATGGCGGGGAGGGCCCAAAAAAAATTTCTGCACCCTTTTTGATTAAGGGTGATTTGTGACTCTTTGAAGTTGAGGGGTTTTTTGTTCTCCAAAGTGCACAATTTATAGGTGGAGATATCTCTTTCTTTATCCTATGCGCTCTTCCCAAATAAGGGAGCCTTAAATAGAGTCACGTGACTGGAGCGGCCACTCATAAATTTGGCTTGATGACCTCCGGGAGGTTAGTGATGGAAGCCGGCGAAACGCATCTTGATATGTTGGCAAAGCCCAACCAAGGGGGAGAGGGAGTGAGAGAAAGAGGGAAGGGGGAGAAAAAAAAAGTGGTTCTTGGAATTGGGGGGTAGCCGGGACAACGAGCCCACAGCGACACCTGGTGCCGACATGGTGAAATTGCAGCCTGGCGCGCTGGTGGTTGAATTTTCTATCCTGTGGAGACGCTGGCTGTTGCTGCAGCAACCCCCCACCCCCACCCCGAGCTGGCCTTTTAGATTGTATTTAATTTTAAGAAAATATAGGGCCTCATTTAGGATGCGCAAATGGGGCTTTTGTAACGGATAGTCCCGCCCGCTCTCCCCTCCCCCCACTTCCAGGGCCGTCCAGTACTGAAAAATGGCTGAGGGAAGAGGATTTAGGCAAGGTGGGTCCTACCCAGGGTAGAGATCTGAGGGAACTTATCTCAGATTCCTTAAATCAAAGGCTGAGGTCCCTCATTGCCTTTGAGGCTCTAAGGCTTGGCTACAGCTGAAAAGGTGCTGTCAGCATCTGAAAGTAAACCCTACCTCTGGAGAAATAAATGGGATGCCCAAGAGAAAGGGTCCTGGGTGTGCAGAACTAGATAGTAGGGTGGGGGTGGGGGGGTGTCATGAGGCTGAAAGTGCTGGGGACTCTCTGGGATGAGCCTGGAGGTGAAGTGAGAAACCAGGAGGAGTCAAGTAGACGTCACCACACCAGGGACCCCAGAGTGGCAAAGGGCAATTTTCAGTGTCTGTGTGTGTATAAAGATCCAGACAATGCGCTGGAGGACTGCTCTGCATCCGTGTGTATCACCCTCGTGTGAGGCCTATACCAGATATTTTGGATAGAAAATAGATATATTAGGGCATGGAGAACAAAGATTCAAGCCTCTACAAATAGTATATGAGCAAGGCAGAGGAAAAGTCCTGTTGTGTGCCCTTTGGGAAAAAGGCCTCTGGACCAGGCTTTCCAGGCACCTAGACTCAGAAAGCCCACAGGAGAGTAATTTCTGAGCTAGTTGGAGGCCTGAAGAGGACTAAGCTGGGGGTGGGCAGGGCAGGTGCCTGGGTATCCTTCTCAGTTAGTGGCCAGGGTCTCCAAAACCATTCTGCCCCTTCCGCCTCTTCCCTAGCCCCAAGTCTTATTCTTTCCTGCCTGCTTCTCCCCAGGAAATCTCCGCCTCTGCTAGGAGAAGCCCCCCCCCCCACCATCCCGCCCCGCTGGCGGTGGCGCTGGAGGGGGCGCTGGCAGGGAACTGAAGGGTCCAGAAAACTCTGGCGGATTTTTCCCTCCAGGAGATCCTCATCACTACCTCTCTCCCTAGGCCCACTCACGTTTCTCGGGCTGGGCTTGGGGAGAGACGGCCGGAGCTGGGAAAGGGTTAGGGGCCGGCTGCGTTCCTCTCCCTCCCGGTTTGAGGGGAGAAGAAAGAGTGAGGAACCAGGCTGGGGCTGGGCGGTAAGGAAGGAGGAATTTTGTCCCGGCCACGTCTGGAGTCCCAGAGCAGGCGAGAGCTCAGTTTCCAGGCTTTCTTTCTCGAGATGTCCTTGAATTGCTCAGTCTCTCCCGAAGGGCTCGAATCGCACGGTCTTCTTTCCGTCTCGGCTCTCTGCCTCAGCCACGTTTCGCAACAGCCAGCCTGGCGCAGGCCGGGGGCTGCTCACGCGGCGCCCCCCTCCGGGGCGTGAGCGGAGGCGACCCTGGTGCCTGGATCATCTTCTTCTCTGGCCTTTTGGGGTTCGGGGTTCAGAAGCCTAAGCCCCCGGGCTACCACAGGCAGGAAGAAAGGCCTGTGTAGGGCTGGAGCCCAACCCTACTAACCCGGGCTTTCCCTCCCCGTCCCCCAGCTAAAGCCTGTGCCGCCTTTTTTTGCGCGGTGTGTGTGTTGCTCGGCTTAGGAAGCCCAGGGAGGCCTCCCAGCACCCACCCCACCACCACCCCCCACCCCCGCCCCGCAAGGCGATCACACGGAGAATGGGGAAGCTGGGCTCGGCGCCCAGCTCCCAGGGAAGGCGAGTGTAGGGGGCTGGGAGCTTGCAGGCGGCGGGCAGATAAAGGAGCGCTCGGAGCCTGCTCTAACTTTCACCCTGAGGCCGGCGGGCGAGCGAATTAACAGAAATATCGATATAAACTTTTAAAAATAATATCAGTTTTATTAAATATTCGAGAACGGATCCAGAGATTGGATTTATACAGGAGGGTAACACGAGGGGATTTTTTTGTCAATTTATTTTTTTTCTCCTACTGGCTAAACAAACGTCATTCACTGTTTTTCTCTTTTTGTAATTTTCCCTCTTTTTTTTTTCTTTTTAAGATGGGATTGGAACACTGACGGTGCTAAACATAAATATAAATACAGAGACCACAAATACAGCTAAAAATATTCACACAGAAACGGTCACAGTTTGTAATATGCCATAATGACCCCCAGGATTCTTTAAATACAATTCGCCTGGGCTGGGCATTTGCTGGGGCAGAGGGGCCGGGAGAGGGCTGCGGGGAGGACCTGGGGGTTGCTGTGGGGCCCAGGCGCGCCCTCCTTGGGCCTCCCGCCCTCCCGAGCTGCCAGACCAGGCCCTGAGGCCACGGAGCAGAGGCCCCGGGATCCGGGAGCCGGCTGTCTGCGCGGGGGCGGGGGCAAGGGCTGGGGGGCGCCAAGAGGGTGGGGGGCCAAGTCCTCATTTGGAGGGAGATTTGTGGAATCTGAAGCAAGGTTCAGGGACCAAGCCCCCAAGACCTGGGCAGGGGACGGGGCCTGCAGACAAGCGGAGAACGAGCGAGCGAGGGATCGAGAAGGAGGCGGGTGGCGAAAGGGAGTTTGTACGGTGAGGGAGGGGGTCCAGAGCTGACTTTCAGGTCCACGTTTAACTCCCTAATTTTTTTTACGGAGTCAAAACACAATTGTGCCAGTGATAAGTACAGAGTGTGTGATAAGGCGGGAGTTGGGGGGAGCGAGGAAGGAGGACAGAGAGGGGTGGCAGGGACAGTCCCAGTCACTCTTTCTGCTTCTCCTCTTCTGTCTCTTCCCGCTTTTCCTCTTTTCCACCCAGGCTGTCGGCCGCGGCCCCTCCGCCGCCCCCCGAGAGCGTGGAAGTGAGATTAGATTCCTTTTTCCATTTCATTCGGCGGTTTTGGAACCAGATTTTGATCTGTCGCTCGGTCAGGCAGAGCGCATTAGCGATCTCGATGCGCCGGCGCCGCGTTAGGTAGCGGTTGAAGTGAAATTCCTTCTCCAGTTCCAGGGTCTGGTACCGCGAGTAGATCTGGCGGCCGCGCCTCCGGTCCGCTCCGTAGCCAACCCCTAGAGATCCGGGCACAAAACATACTAAAAACAATCAGCAAGGCATCTTCTGCAGACGCTTCTGCTTAGCAAAGTCCTGACCCTCCCAACTTGGCCAGCAGCTCACGGGCCCCCTCGGGCTCAAGCCTTGTCCCTTTTGCCCTGCCCCACCCCCACTGGGGGTACAGCCAGGACCCCAACTTCATTCATTTTCCCCCATAGGTGGGGAGGCGTGTTTCCCAAAGAAAGGGGGTGGGCAAGAACCAGGCAGAAAGCTGCAAATCTAAAAGCTGAATTTTGAAAAATCCCCAGTACCGGGGAGGAGGGCTCTATTGCTCAAGGACTGGGCTTCACCACCTCTCTAAGCACCCTAGCTCCTTGTAAACTTCTCTCCACTTCTCTTCTCTCTACTCTCCCCCTCCCTTCTCCTCAGCCTGACTCAACTTTGGGGGGCTCCCCCGTTCCCTGCCCCCTCCCCTGCCCTGTTCCTGCCCCCTCAGCTCGCCTTCTTGCCCTCCAATCTGTCAGGGGCCGAGGGGGCCAGGCCCCTGCGAGCGAGCGGGGAGGCGAGTTGAGGGGGCAGAAGAGGGGGCCCTGTCTCGGCGTCAGCGAGGAGACGAGCGTGATTGTTTTTATGGGGCCATAAAAAACTCTCTCCGCCCGTTCTTCTAGGGAAGCCGGTCATAAAGCCAGTTCAGTTTATTTAATTTATATCGCAGAGCTGTAAAACTCACCACTGTGCGAATTCATTCGCTGCATCCAGGGGTAAATCTGGATACTGGCTTTCTGGTCCTGGGGCGCAGTCCTGCCCTGCTCAGAACTAAAATCCTGAGCGATTGAGGTCTGTGTGTTATGTCCTAAGGTGTTTTGTCTGCAGTTTGAGAGCATGTCTTTCTCCTGGTAAAAGGAATTAGATCCATAGTCATACGGCCCCCGGCTGGAACTGAACACGACATTCTCCTGTGGCGAATAAAAGGGAGTCGAGTAGATCCGGTTCTGGGCAACGGCCGCTCCATAGGTCGAGAAATGCCTCACTGGATCATAGGCGGTGGAATTGAGGGCGACGTTGGGGAGGACGTCCTGGCCCCCGGCGAGGTGGCAGGATAAGGAAGGGTTAGTGAAGTAGGAATTCATCCCTTTGCCTTTACCTGGTCGGGCTATGATTTCTTTAATATTTATTTCTGTCTCCAGTTTGTACTCGGAACTAGATGGTTATAGGGACGGCTCCAATCCAGGACAGACAAAATGACAAAGTCAGCTGACCGCCTTCCAGCCAATCGCGAGCCAGATGTCAAGAAGGGGGAAAAAAATCGCTTCTGCTTCTGTTGATTCCCTAGTTGAGACTAAGTGTGTGCTTTGAAAGTAAGACTTGGATTTCTTTAAAATATATATATGTAAGGGAACAGATTTGGGGGTGAAGGAGGGGTAAATGTCCGAGCGCAGGGCCTTGGGGCCCAGGTAGGGAGAGCTGCACTCCCCGGAAATCTC